GCTCCGGGGGAATCCTCCACGGAGGCGAGAGCGAGAGATCCACAAGGTTGGCAAACCACTGACACCTTGGCCAATGTGGAGCAATCAAGATTACCTCCGCCCTTTCCTGAATCAGCTTGTGGATAGTAGCCTGTAACAACGAAAGGAGAGGAAGGCGTAAAGTAGACCCTCCGGCCACTGACACCGGAGGGCATCCGTTCCCTCCACTCCCTGTGTCGGGAACCTGGAGAAGAACCTGGGGAGTTGGGAGTTTGGTGGGGAGGCAAAGAGATCCACGAGAGGAAGACCGAACCTCAATGAAATGTCCTTGAACAGAGCCGGGTCCAGTCGCCACTCCGAGTGGTCCACCGTGGCCCTGCTCAGGAAGTCTGCTTGTCAATTCGCCTCCCCTGAAATGTGCTCTGCCCTGATGGACGCTAAGTGGGCCTCCGCCCACAGACCCAGATCCAAGACCTCCTACATGAGCGACCAGGATCGGGTCCCTCTCTGCTTGTTGCCGTGTGCCTTGGCGGCCACATTGTCCATCAGAATCAGGACACGTTTTCCTTCCACTAGGGATGAAAACTGTTAGAGTGCTAAATGTATGGCTCTGAGTTCGAGCCAGTTTATATTGTGAATTAGATCTGACCGTGACCATTGACACTGTGCCAGATGAGTCTGAAGGTGTGCACCCCAACTGAACAGACTGGCGTCTGTGGTCAAGGTGAGTCTGAGAGGTTCCTTGAAGACTGTCCCCTTGGTCATGATGGACGAACTCCACCATAGGAGAGATAACAAGGTGTGATGGGAAACCCTGACCCTTTTTGTGGAAGAACTGAGGTTCTGTTTCTGGAAGGGAAGAAGGAACCATTGGAGGCATCTTGAGTGAAGCCTGGCCTATGGGACGATCCCCATGCAAGACACCATTTTTTCCAGGAGCTGGGACAGCTGTACCAGTGGCACCGATTTGTCCTTCCGAACCTGATGTACCAGCTTCCGGGTGCTGACCCGATGTTCCTGGGAGAGATAAACCTTGCAAATCCCCGAATCTATTATCGCCCCTAAATGAAGGAGGCGCTTTGTGGGGATCGTGTGACTCTTCTTGAAGTTCACGGAGAACCCATGAGCTTGAAGGGTTTGTATCGTGATCTGCAGATCTGACTGTGCTGACTGGAAGGAACTGGACTGAACAAGAATGTCATCCAGGTAGCACTGCACGTGCACCGGCATCAGCCTGAGGTGAGCCGCCAAGACAGCCAAGATCTTTGTGAAAACCCTTGGTGCAGAAGATAGACCAAAGGTAAGGGCTCTGTATGGTAATGCCGGTGCGCATGACAAAACCGAAGGAAACTGCAGTGTTCTGGGAGCATGGAAATGTGTAGGTACGCCACTGTGAGGTCTATCGAGGAGAGGAAATCCCCTTTTCTGATGCTTGTGAGAATGGACTTTAGGGTCTGCATCTTGAACGTTTTGTAGATCAAGAAGTAGTTTAGACCCTTTAAGTCCAGTATCGCCCTCCATCCTCCTGAGGCTTTTGGGACCACAAATAGAATGGAGTAAAATCCCTTTCCTTCTTGAGCCTTTGGAACCTGTTGTATGGCCTGAATTTCTAACAGAATGGGAGATGGCCGTGGCTACCAATTGTTATTTGTTTGCGTTTCTTGACACCGGACACTGTATGAATCGGTCTGGAGGAAAGGAGTAGAACTCTAGGGTAAGACCGTATTTGACAGTATCCCTTACCCAAGAGTCGGTGGTGGTCGCTTCCCAAATGTCACTGAACAGTGCCAGACGACCCCTGATGAGAGTCCTCCCTGGCGTCACTTTGAACGCCTGTATGATCGGCTCCCCGATCCCTGAAAGGGACGTTTGGTCTGGAACTGTCCCTTGGCTCCCGTGTTTTGGCAGTCCTGCAAGCGATCCTGTCTGTGGGGGAAGGATCGTGAGCCTTTTGACCAATCCTAGGACTGCCCTGCCCGAAAAGGCTGTCTCCACTCCCAGGGATTACTGGGACGGAAGGGTAGCCTACGAAACTCCTGTTGTGGCCGTCTATCAGACCGCTTAGAGGGATGAGCCAGGATTTTGCACTTGTCTTTGCCCTCAATGATGTGAGGTTCCAGGATTGGGCCAAACAAATGAGTACCATGTATTTAGACGTGGACAAACGCCACTTTGACTTTAAATCCGCTCTCCATTGTTTCAGCCATAGTAGTCTGCGAGAGGCCACCATGGCAGCAATGGATCTGGCGGAGTACCTGGTTGAATGAAGAGAGGCATCTGCCACGTACTCAGCAGCAGTCATGATCTTGCGTAACGTCTGTTGTGTTCGAACCTGGTCAGGAGGAGCGATTGTCTGTAGCTCACGAAGCCACATGATCGATGCCCTGGCGAAGAAAGAGAACGAAGTTGCGGCCTTGATTGCCCATGCTGAAGCCAGGTGTGCACGACGGAGGGAGAATTTGAACTTCTTGTTCTCTGCCTTCAATGCCTCAGCCATATCCCCTGGAATAGCTGCTGTAGAAAACAGAGAGGTCAGGGGGTATCAACGGAAGGGACTTCTAAAAAGGCAAGAAAACGAAGAAGAGACATTGAACAGTTTCTTCTCTGAACTGTTGGGAGAAGGAGGAGTGGCCAGGGAAGACCTCTGTTTTTCCCCTGTGGTATGGAAAACCTGTGGACAAGGAATCTGCTTGTCCTCCACAGCTGTTGCACAAACAGAGGATTAGACTCCTGACTGGAGGTAGAAGGTTTCTCCTCCTAAACCGAAGTGAGGTTAATTGTAGTAATGGCCTTTAACAGTAAAGACCTGAAAAGAGAAGGATCAAAAAGACCCGAAGTTGGCGCCTGTTCAGGTGCTCCCTCATCCTCTGACATGGGCATGTCAGCTAATTCCAGGTCAACAGACTCCTCCTTTCCCAGTTGAGAAGAGGTCTCGGAAACACCAGAAGTGAGGATTGTGGTACGCCCTGCCTGAGAAGGAGCAACAGATGGAGATGATTGAAAAGGCATTTGACCCCTGGAAGACATAAATTGTGTGAATGTATTTTGAATGAAAGACTGAAACTGAGCTGACCATATGTCACCCTGTTCCATGTAACTGGCACCAGCCTCAGCTGGGATGTACGTGCCCTCAGGTCCTTGGTGAGCCAAAGATGATGATGAGGAATGTTAGACCCCAACCTGCTCAGTTTCCCCCTGAGGAGACCAAGCCCTTGAGTCATCATGATAAGGAACAACAGGAGGTTCAGATATAGGAATGTCCACTGAAGTAGGGGAAACCATTTCCACTTCACTGGACCTGAGCCTTTGGGCGTTGGAGAATCCCTTCTCTAGTGCCAAATGTCCCCTCAAAGCCTCTCGCTCAGCCGATTTAGAGGGTTCCTTGGGAGAAATGTGCTTTATTTTGGCCTTCCTTTTCCCCCGATTTCAAAACAGTAGATCTGCGCTTTGATTGAGAGGGGGGGGATCCCGGAATCCTGTAATGCTTGGAGCGAGGAACTGTCCACCATTGCAATCCAGATATACCGAGTAGGAAATATCCAGATGGTGGGGGGAGACCAAGACGCAGATTTGGTTGACAGAGATGGAAAGCCGATCCTAGCTCTGCACAACAGCAATGGCAAGGGACAGTCAAGACAGTTTCTTAGAACTGCCTGTCTAGCCCTGTGACAAATGCCACACACTAATAGCAATAGGTGGATTAAATAAGCTCCTCCGCTCAACTCACCCCAAGGACCAAACCGAACTGTACAGAATCACAAGGAGTATGCAGGATCCAATGATCCACAATAGGGATCTGAGGTCAGCCCTGTATAACTTCTCCCCAAGTGAGGACTGAAAAGTCAGGACCGCAGGAGAAGGTTCAGGCCTCTGAGCCTTGTGAGGCACATCCGAGGCAGTACAAAGAAAGGAGGCTTCCAAGTTCAAAAAGGCCCCATTCAAAATGGCGACCATTCCGGCCACACCCAAAATGGTATCCATTGTATTTACTGTCTTCAAAATGGCGGCCCCCTGCCTTACACGCGGTTAAAATGGCGACCGCGCCTCTTTAGAGCCTCCCAAGGAGGACTATTACCCAAAGGCAGGGAAATTGAGGAAAACGGAGCCCCAGTCAGAAAAAAAACAATCCCAGAGCCAGAAAGAACTAATGAGAAATTTCTCAAACTTGCGGTTGATCGGCTGTCTGCTGCCGCGATTCCGGATCCAAGAGAAGCCTCGTGCCTCTGAAAGGTGAAAAGGGAAACCGTTGACCCATTCGAGTCCTTAGGGGCTCCAAACACCAAAAATCAGCTGCTTGGCTGAACCACGGTTGCGCTGCTTGCCGCCAGAGAGCTGAGTCCCTGGCCAGAGAGAAACTGCTACAGCCCTCCACAGAGGAGCCTGTGGCTAGAAGCCAGAAGGCTCCAAATCAATTTGAGCTTTCAATTTATCCAATTTAGTGAAAATTTAACTCCAATTTGAATCAAAACCCAATAGAAAAACCCAATCACTATTTGAAATCAATAATTTCCAATTAGAAGAAACACCAATTCAATTAATCTAGCCTAACTAAGAGAGCCAAGTCAAAACTGGGAAGACACACCCTGAGGGAGGCATGGCCAAAGTTCTGACCTAATCTATCTGAGCAGGAAGACTGAAATAACCCATCCGGTGGATTCTACAGTCATCACACTGGAGAAAGGTTAATTTTCAGCATGCCACAAATGCATGTGGTGTGATGGAAACTAACTCTTTCCCATCTTTTCCTGGGACCTTCTAGGATGGATTTGTGAATCAATTTACTCATATCACTGAAAGTTTGCAACTCAAAAGTCTGTAGAGTAATATCTGTATTGACAGAGTTCCCATCTGTATATCATAACTTAGTACATTCAACATGTTTTTAAACTTCTTAAATGCTTCCTGTAAGGTGAAATAGTACTCAGGAATGTTCTTTAAGGGCATTGCCTAACAAATTTCCTGCAAACTACTTTTTCATGATAAATGATCTGAAAATAATAATTTACAACCGTATCAACACAGAGTATTAAAAACAGTTTTATTTGTAGATAAAGACAGAAACCTGAATCTTTGACTTTACAAAATAAAACTACCTTTCATCATCACAAAATGTAGTCTTTGGTATAGGCAAGAATACTTCTACATTCCATAATTGCTATGAAGTCTATTAAAGAATTGAAGTTCTACCTTGCAAAGATTTTAAAATCACCTAATTTTGTAACTTCCAAATTAGTAATTTCATATATGTAATAGAAAAAGTATTAATTTTACTGTGATACATTTTCATTGATTAGCCATGATTGAGGAACTGAATATTCAATTTATGAATATTTTTCATAAATATTCATGATTTTTTTTAATAGCCAAGGAGCCATTGCTTCACACTCATTGGATTACAATAGCTTTGGTTCAAAAACCCATAAATACAGAATGTAGCCATAACATATGTCAATAAATATAGAAAACTAGGAACCATTATTTATTGTGAAACATGTACCAATTTAAAGCATAGTCAACATTATTTTTAACATGTAAAGATTTTTCTTACTATCAAATGTAACATATTTTTGCTTAATTCTACCATCTATAGGATTAGAAATTGCTCATATGCAGTGGCAACTAAAAAAACTAATTATGTTTGATGCAAGAGGGCTATCGTAAGCAGAGAAAAGCAAATCACTTGACATAGTAAGGCTATGATATTTAGACATTTAAGAAAAGCTCCAAAGTATCTTCAAATGTACAAGTTATAGAATAGACTTTGAAATGGTATTTTTCTTCCAGAAGAACAAGCATATCTAATTGGTCCTTTTCCTGCAGCCTTTATATAAATTATTTCACAGGGTTAAATAAATCTGCAGAGTAAAATCATATTGCAGAAGAATAAATCTATTTCTGTAATATTGAGTTAGGCCAAAGGAACCATAGGCATAAGAAGCTGTAAAAATTCCTACTCTACAGAAATTGTTTTCTTAAGAAAAGATACCTGAATTAAACTGTTAGTCATAGAAGACTGATATATAGAGACCATAATAATATTTAACTTAGAAGAGTGCTTAGAAATTTTGAAATATAAATGCTAGATAAATGGCAAAGGGCTAACATTGCATTTGCCAAGGTATGAAGTAATAATCCAAATTACTGTCTAAGTTAGTCTTCTTTTTAAAACTAATATTATGCCAAATAAATTGCCAAGTAGTTCAGATTTATGATTAATATTCCTCCAAAGATGGTATTAGTTAAATTTACTTGCAGTTGTTAAGTTGGAGGTCAAGAATATTGACACAATTCTATTGCATGTCTATTTAATTTATACTGTATACTCTACTGGTATTGGCAAGTTTGTATTGGAAAACTGTCTATTTGTTCGATTTTCTTCCTCAAAATATTTTTAGATCTTTATAAATGCTTTCACTAAAAGGATTACTCTCTCATTTACAAAATGGGAGTGCTTATCTCTTGTTTTTTACAACAATGAAAATAAAAATTAGAAATCTTAGATGTACATATTTCATCAGTGCTTTAATACGGTGTGGGTGGTTTTTCCTTCTCAAAATAATTATGATAGGGTAAAAGAAAATGACCACCGTTTTCAAGTTTTCTGGTGTTTGGAATAGTAGAAATATAACAGTACAAACAAAATTGTTCAGACAAAGGTCACATATAGGAAAAAACTGAAGCACCTGTTTTTACTTTATCCTGTCAGGAAGTACTGATTGGAATGAGTTTTAATAGATATCTGTAAGACAATTTTTATTTAAAAATGTAAAGTAAAAGAAAATAAAAATGAACATGATGCTAGGCCTTAATGTAAAAAGAGAGTTTTTTCATTATGTCTCAACTGATTTATAAAAGTAGATTCAAAAGACTTACTGTTGGGTCTTGGAAGAACTTGGAACCTTCTTCTGAAAGCTTCAAAATATTGGCAGAGAAGAATTCAGAACATGTCAATTATACTTGTTTTCAAACTATTAAAATGAGTGATAGATGCCTAAACAAAGAGAATATTTTCCCAACTTCACAATTGTGCATTTCTCAATTTTAGTTGATCATATCAACATACTGAACTGATCATACCATCTCAACAAGTAGATTTGGGATCTATATTTAAAAAGTCAGGTATTTTGTTGTATTATACTGGATCAGAACATATACTGCTACTTTTCCATACAATTTTTAAGCATATTATGATGGTGCAAGACAAATTAAAAACAGAAAAAACTCTAAAAATAGACAAAAGATCTACCAACTCACCTATTTTCCCCTTTATTTCTTCAGATGATCGATTTCATTAATGGACATGACATTCCATGTATTTATAAAATATTTCAAGCTGAAATAAATGTGAACAGATTTTGCAGCATATCTTGGGAAAATGTCTCTCCTAAACCAGTTTAGATTAATGCTGAGGTAGAACTTTGCTTTAGTTTCTTTCCATTCATTACTGAAAGCTGTCCAATGACATATAAGCAGTTTTGCTTGATAAATGTAAATTTAATAGCAAATCCTAATAGTGTAAGACAAGTAAGGGAATGAAAGTTTTTTTTCACTTCTACCACCTTTAGGAGTTTGTAGTATTTTCTTTTTTATTTTTATTGTGGAAATATTTCCTAGTCCATGCTCCCTTTAGGCCTGTGGCATCTACTGCAGTATCAACAAAATCATCAGGTATCAGCCATTTCAGAAATATCAGAAAAAGAAAGCTGAGCATAGCCAAAAGAGCAAAAATGCAACCAGTCACTGGGCCACAATGAGTGATAAGTCTCTCAAGTCGTTTGCCCATTGACAATACAGTTTCATTTGCCACTCTGTTGTATACCTGGAGGAAGACAAATACATAAATTAAGTTTGTCTGCAATATGTAAATTGTATTAACTCAAAGACATTCATTCTTAATCATAAATATATTATAAATGTAACACTAGAATACACTAGGGAATAATCTTTGGTATATCCAAAGGAGTCAACTAGAAGAACTAATTTCCCTTATTTTTCAGATGTTCTCCTAGAATAATCTCCAGATTCCTAAAATTTGTCATTGAAAATTTCATATATTTCCTATCCATAATATGATAGGATTTGGCATGTAATCCAAACTGGATGATTACAAATGTATGATTATTAAATATAATTACAGAAGACCTACATTTACAAATGAATATGGATAATGAATTAATCAGACCATGATAACTCTCTCATCAAATCTCTGGACATAAAACCAGAAGTTAGGAACAACTCATAAAGAAGAACAACTTTACAGCAGCAACATCCACTGATCATGGTTTTGTGTCACATCATTGGCTCCCAAAGATTACTTTTCCAAAGCAAAGGACTGTGAAAAAAAATTCTCCTATCCATGTGCAGTAACTCCAGTCTTAATAGGACAGCAAGCATCTTTTAAAATAAGATATACTGGAAAAGTAGTTCCTCGAAATGAGGCTGAAGTATGAGATGGATATGAAGGGATCTGCAAAAAAATTGCCATTTGAGCTAGTACACCATTAATAGATAAATCCCTTGTCTACACTTACTCTGGCACACCAAGTTCCCTATATGTAAGATACTAGATGGCTACAGGTTAAGTGCATAAAGATAGCAATGTAATTGAATTTCCACAATGAGATAAACTATTAGAAAATATGTTCTCAAATTAATACAGAGTTTCCAAACAAGAAAGTTCACCTACTTTTTCAGTTCTTTTTGCAACATTTCTCCAAGTGTAGAATGTTCTAACTTTATCATGCATAATTTCTGGAGGCAACAATGATCCTGACTTCAGTTGGCCAATAGCCTTTTCCAATCCAATACAGAGGGATTTCACTGAAGGTTCACACAAGATTATAAAATCATCTGGAAGTACTTCAGGAATCCCACCAACTCTTGTGCTAACCACCTGAAACAACAGATAAATTATAATGCTTTTGCTAGGGAAATTGTATCTCAAAAATACAAATACTGTACTGATAATATATAATAGCTTATGTTTCCCAAAAAAAGAGATCTGTTGTTTTTCTGAATAGTATATAATTTTTTTAATATACTGACAAAACATTACCTCACTTCTGAACTATTTCCTAACTATACCCTCCACTATTTTAATATTTTGTTTGTAGGAATCTTTATCCCAATAATTATCCAGTATTATTCTGTTAAAGTACTTCACATTACTTGTTGTTCTGACTGTATCATATTCATTCTTTACTTTATAAAATACTTATTACCTTCAGCCATTTAAAAGTTCAGTGCTTCCAGAAATGTTTATAATGGGGACCTGTATTAAATAGGTTGTGTAGCTTGTCCTTGCACTCCAAAATAGAAAAGAAAGCAATTGATTTACCATTACCATTCTTTCAAATAGCACCAGTTTGTGTAATGATTATGACACCAGGCTAAAAACTGGAAGACCATGAGTTCTAAATATACCTTAGATAAAGCCAACTGGGGGACCTTGGGCCAGTCATTCTCTTTCACTCCTAGAAAGCTGGCAATGATAAACCATTTTAAAAAAAAAAATTGCCAAGAAAAGTGCAGGGATTAATCTAGGCAGTTGCCGGGAGTCAACTCTGACTTGAAAGCACAAACACAATTGTTCAAATGGGAAAGGATACAATTGTTAGGTGTTTCCATTTTATTTTATTTTTAATATAATTTTTATTGAAAGGCTTCATATTAAAAATAAGAACTAATACAAACTAAAATAGAATGAAAGAGGGAGAAATTAAAAAAGTTAAGAAAGTACAAAAAAAGTAGAAATAGAAAAAGTATATAAAGAATATAAAGATATGGCTTCCAATTTTCTTCCCAGCAGTTATAAATGCCTATTTTTTTCTCCTCTATCAAATACTTGTATTGACAGCCAATAAAGCTATTTTCAGGAATAATCTGGACTTGTACCTATTCCACATTCTAACTCTTTTATTCAGTCTTAATTTTTCAACAACACCCAAACAAAATGATAAACTGCAAAATACAATTTCAGATCAGGTAAACCCAATCCTCTTCTTTCCTTTGCATTTTATAACATCTTATATTTAACTCGTAGATTTTTCCCTATCATACAAATTTAGAGATAACTTTTAGGTATTATTTAAATGGTCTATCAGTTCTCAAAAAAGATAGTATCTGAAACAAAACTATCTTTCCAGGCAGAACATTTATTTTTATCACAGAAATTCTCCCCAATAGTAACAAATTTATTTTATCTTCATATTAGCATATCCTTTTAATTTCATTCCATATCTTACATAATTATTTTGCAATAACATATAATCAATATTTGTGATACTCAAATATTTTATTTTTTCATCTCAATCTTAAGCCAATTTTCTTCATCATTTTTGTTTGATCCTTTATTTTTGTAAGCATTTTTGTCTGCTAATTCTTAATCTTAAAACCTGCTAGCATACCAAATTAGTCTGAATTACAGGCTTCCCCCAATTGTTTTTTGTTTTGCCTTTCTTTGTCCTTCATATTTAAGTCTCATTTGGTACTCCATAATTACAATCATACAATCTGTCTCATATTTATCTTTATTTTGTCAAATCCACCGTTTCTTTAATGTTAAAGAAACAACACTCTACAAAAGTCTAATCTGCATGTCGATTTAGCTCCAATACTTTTAAAAGGCTTTTGCCAAAAATTAATCTTTCAAAACTATTGACCCTTTTATCCATTTAAACTTTCTTACATCAGATTTTTGTTAAGCTTTTAAGTAGTAATTTAAAACTCTTTAAACATTATTTTTTTCACTTTTATCAGAAACTCAACAAGTGTTTTTCCCTTATCCTGCTATTTGGAAGATCACTCTTTAACTTTAAATTGATTGCATCTGATAGTGGTTAAGAAAATGAGGCATTTGCAAATCTTATGTTCATTAAAGGCTGCATTGCAGTTGTGAGCATGACTGAAATCCCTTGACTTCCAACCACTCAACCCCATAATTTTTGCAGTAGCCTCATGAGTAGCAGCTGTCTGGAGTGCAGGTGAATAATCTCATGATCTCTCTTTGTCCAGAGAAAACTCCACTGGCTAGAATTCAATGTCTGGCCACCAATCTCCGCTGCAATGCCATCCCCACTCCTTCAGGGATGTTTAGTTTGTCGTTAGACCTCACTTTTATGTGTTCCCATTTTAGAATGTACATGCAATAGAAAACACTACAAATATTACTCTTCACCATTTTTTACTTGACAGATGCTTTTAAAATGTACTATTTTACCTCAAACTAGATGGAAATTTTGCCACTGATAAAGACTAAGTTTATTTTGTTTACCTATTTGCAGGCACGCCAATCAGCCAACACTAAGAAGTTTACAATTCCATAACACATAATCAGGATTTAAAATAATTCACATTAACTTTAAAACAAATTATGTATTATAATATAAATGATAACATGAAGAAAGGAACACACAACAGAACAATTTTCCTCCTCAGCAGGAAAATGATAAGAGAACTGCCATCTTGAGGGAAATAAGGGTTAATTAAGAAGATACACTTCCTTGGCTCCTAAAGACAGCAGTCTCTAATCAAATATACATTTAAAAAACCTGCCATATTAGTTTGCATTAAACAAACAGATGTTACTGGGAAAAAGTGACAAGACTTTAAAAGTGACAATCAGCACCCTGAATTGTGCCCAGAATGGCAAATAATATAGCTCTTAACATAGAGGTGTTATATGGATTTTGTTCCTATCGTAGTTTTATTAAATTCTTAAGACAATGGTCCATTTAATTTCTTTCAATAAGAAAAAGGTTTACCTGTAAACCACAACTGGCAGCTTCCACAATTGCCATACAAAATGCTTCTGTGAGAGACGTATTAAGAAAAATATGACCTTGCACCAAGACATTTCTAACTTCCTGGTGTTCTAAGGCTCCTAGAAGACGAACTCTATAAAGTTTTGAGAAACAAAGAAAAAAATATTGATAGAAATATTTTTATCAACAGAGAAAAGCACAGTCCAAGATAAATACTTGCAACTAACTGTGAAATCAACTGGATTATGAATGAACTACTAATGCTATCAGTATCAATTAATTTTCAAAGTCTTTAATTTTAATTACATCAAAGAACAAAGTATGTTAGATTATGCTTTTTAAGAGTTTCCACATCAGTCACATTTCATGAGGAATGCAACTAAATCAATTTTCAATTTTTCCAACTCTTGTCTTCAAAGAAGGTTAAAATGCTAAATATTAGTTCAGCTATATTGCAAATATTCAATAGTCAAGCACAGAGAAACAAAATAGTGAGAACTAAGATCATCCAAACATACTCTCATGTCATTGAGTTATTGATATTTTTATCAATAATAATTAATATTAGAAAAAAATCAAGAGAAACAACCTACATTTTCACATGAATTTATTGAAGCTTGGTATTCCACCAAAGAGCAATTAACAAGCATATTGATCTAGATCAGTGATGGCAAACTTTTTAGAGACCGAGTGCCCAAACTGCAATCCAAAACCCACTTATTTATTGCCGGGTGCCAGGTGGGCATGGCCCACTGGGTGCGTATGGCTGTGGTGGTCCTGGCAGACTGGGTGGGTTGGCCAAGGTGGGCATGGTCACCTCGATGTTGCTCGTGGGGAGGGATGCCTGTGGGGGCAGGGCAGAGTTGGAGGAAATCTAGGGGGTCTCTGGTAAGTGGCATGGTGGGCAGGAGGCTCGTCCTAAGGGTGAGGCAAGGCAAGGTGAGGCAGGGCATGGGTGCCATTACCGTAGGGCAAGGCGGGGCAGGAGCCGGGGCAACTGCTGCCTGACATCATCGGCCCCGCACACAGAGGCCAACGAGCACATGGGGGCTAACAGTGTCCATCAGCAGCCACAGCCTGCCGTCCCCTCGACTGGCGCACTCTGGGGCTCTGCAGCCTGCTGCCAGCAGTTCAGAAAAGCATAGATGCAGTGGATTGTGCCCAGGAAAAGGAGAGCATGCGAGGACAGGAGGGAGGGAACAGGGGGGAGGGAAACCAGCCATGCTGGGATGCATCCGGCCAGGTGGGACCTCAGCAAGTTAGCTCTGAATGCCGCCTCTGGCACATGTGCCATAGGTTCACCACCACTGATCTAGATCAGCGGTTCTCAACCTATGGGTCGCGATCCCATTTGGGGTCAATCGACCATTTCTCGGGGGTCGCCAAACAAGGCGATCCGCCATTTTTCCCCCTCGGGGGGCGCCGCCGCGCATGTGCGCCGCGCATGGGGGCACCGCCGCGCATGTGCGCCGCGCATGCACGGCACGTTTGTGTGACGGGGGTCGCCGTCACACAAACGTTGAGAAGCACTGATCTAGATCCAACATATCAATATGTAAGAAACCAGACCATTTGAAGTACCAATCAACAAGAGAACCAATCAGCTACTCAGAATTCAAATTTATCTAACAAATAACCAATTGTACGACAAACTGACTACTCTGGCACACAAGACATTTATGAGCTAAGGAGAATAGGACAAGAAAATCCTGCTGATGATGTTACCTAGTTTGGTAACAAAATGTTCAGAAATTATATTAAAACAAGCTTGGGGAACAAATCACAGCCAAAACCTAAAACCCGAGCTACAATATTTTCTATTATTTCAAAATATTATCCATTATATAAAATCATCATCCTATTCCTTTCTTCATTTCCCTGGTAAATCTTTAATTAACATAGCTATATTAAATACAATGCAGAAAACATACCTCTCGTGTAGTTGATATCTTTCCCGTACTTCTTCTAATACAATTCTTTTTGGTCCTTCTCCTCCAACTAAGAAATGTAAATCTGGATACTTCTGACATAGCTCAGGAATTATACCACTAAGTAAATCAATACCTAAAGAAAAATATTTATTCAGTTTTATAAAAAATGATTATTAAGTAATCATCTTTTGTATGAATCATTCCACCACTGGTTAGCTTTCAGAATTTCAAAATCAAAATACAATATTTAAAATGTAAGAACCTTAATAATTTACTAAACCAGTTTTATATTAATATTGCATGGTTGTAAATTACCTTCCAGGACAGAACTTCAAAAGAGCTTATATGCTGCTGACCAACCTCTGTGCACTTTTATTTTTCTGTTACACATTACAGGTGGTCATTGCATAATTTCCATTCAAACTTATGATAGACCACCACCACCTTTGCAGTTGTGATTGCATTTTCGGTGCTTGGCAACCAGCTTGCAATTATGACCAGCTGCAATATCCTGAAATCATGAGACTGTGGTATGCAAACTTCCAGTTGTTTTCCAGCATAAAATGCTAAATGGATTGTTTTATGATTACCATAAAAAAAGTCATAAAACTGAGTCAGGTAACATAATGACCGGCTGAACTGTAACAAGATATGAGCAAAATTCTGAGCTAAAGAGTATACAACCTACTCTTATAAAAAGTAATTTACATCTTATTTTCAATAATACTCTTGATCTCATTTAGAATAAAATATAAACCCTAAAGCTCCAGATTAATGGCTGGCAATCCTTTAAAATGCCTTATATTTAAAAAGAAATAAAGCATTTATCATTTAAACACTTAAAATGTCCCAAATATCAAGAATGTATATGTAAGAGATCATTTTAATTTTGGAAGTCAGGGGTCACCTTTTAATTGTTTGGGATGTTATGTTGCCAATCCCAGTCCATCACAATGTTATATGCCAGTGGTTCTCAACCGTTTCTTCACCACAAACTCCCATTAAATACCTTTTGTGGCCACGGCCCATGGCCACAGCCCACCAAGACTTAACTCAAGATTTAAATCATAATACTTCTTCAAGTCTTCACAGATCACAGGTTGGGAATCACTTTTATTTGCAATGCCTAAAGTTCCCCTGAACATTGTCACTAAATTGTAATTTTAATGCAATAGGAAGAAAAATATAATATACAAGGAATAATTGTTCATCATTTTAATTAATTTAATTTTTATTATATTCAATTAATTAAGATTCTAACCTACACTAGCCATTTTTGGAAAGTAACATTGACACATCAAAAGAGAGTACCTTCTTGAAGAACACTCAGCCATATACATCTATCTTTTTCACCAATTTATTTTCAATCACAACCTGCAGAAAAGATTAGCTTGAAAAAGATACTGATGCAAGATTATCTAGTGAATTTTATTACTCAGTGAACATTTTCTTGGTCCTAAACTAAAATCTCCCAAAGAATAGGATACTCATTCATAACCTAGTTATACCAATCTTGAAATATATGCCTGCTAGAAATTTTTGACTGAAGCAATCTTTTTTAAGAAAAAAAATTCTCATTCAACATGTATTTCTTATTATGTTTTTGTTGCATGGGTACATCCATGTCCTACAAATTTACAGTATTTCTAATTTATAAATAAATTACATATTTATAAATAAATTAGAAACCAGTTTTAGCCTGCATTTCTACAGCTATTACTGAAGATTTACAATTCAGCAAGATGCTGCCAGAATTTCTTACAATTTTACATTCAAAACCTTTGCTTAAAATTTCAAGACCATGCAAGGTAATACCATCTCTTTCCTCCCTCCCTCCCTCTCTCTCCCTCAAGTTAGTTGCAGTTCATCCAATTTATAGATTCAATCCATGACATACTATATATTAACCCAGAATTAAATTACATCTGTCATGGATCTAAAATCCAGTTCAGACAAGACAGAAACATCTTAGGGCTTAAAAATCACCCTTTATATTATGCACAATATTTATTTAAAATGCAAAATCAATAAAGATAATTTCTGATCCATACACATTAAAAAAACATTTAAATACATCTTACCCTTCCAACCTTATTACCTTTTCTATATACAAGTCTGCTAACCACAACAACAGTTATTGTGTTGTTGTCACGTCTAGATGCATCTGGAGTGAAGTCAGTAGGATCAACAGCATTAGGGATGACAGAAACTATTTCTGGATTAAGTGCTGCTCTTAATACAGTATTCTCTTTGCTTGTGTAAGAAACACATACTATGTGATTTGTATCACATAGTGATACAGTCAAGAGCTTATTTGTAAGCACCGAACTGACATCAGCAAATCCAAAAAGTGAATGATCTGTAAAAATTGTCCGTAGCTGCATTGTCTTAGCATGAAACAGTGCATCATGAGCCATAGAAGAAAATGAACTATGTGCATGGACAATGGTGATTCTTTCTCGAATAAATATGTACCTGAGCAGAGGCAGACTGTGAAAAAGAGTAGTGGCTGTAGATTGGTTGTACATAACTCTTAATGGTAAATAGTAGACTTTCAGTCCATTGGTGAGATATCGAATACCTTTGCGATCCTCATAAGCATGGGTGATTACAATAACTTTGTGTCCTCTTTCAATTAAGCACTGTGATAACTGGTAAATATGGCTTTCCACTCCACCCATGTTTGGATAAAAAAAATCAGACACCATACATATTCTATGAGCTTGACTGGCATATGCCGGAGACTTATTGGAATTCATAGTTGAAATGATATTAGAGAGAAGCTGTTCTTGAGTTCCTTCTCTTCTACAGGCCATATTAGTTAATCGTTAGTCCATGTAAACACCATTCACTTTGAAAAGGAAATTCCTAGATGCAGAAAAATGCACACATTAGGGCAAAAAGTGTTTCACTATAGGGATTATCATTTTGAAAGTAGCAACATTTTACAATGCAATCCATTACACAATCAAGTACAGGTACTTCTCAATTTACAACAGTTCATTTAGTGATTGTTTGAAGTTACAATGACACTGAAAAAAGTGACTTATGACTGTTTTTCACACTTACAACCATTGCAGCATCCCCTACAGTTGCATGATCAAAATTCAGATGCTTGGCAACTGACTCATATTTATAACAGTTGCAGTGTCCTGGTTTCATACGATCCCCTTTTGCAACTTTCTGACGAGCAGTCAATGGGGAAGCCAAATTCACTTAATAACCATGTTACTAACTTAACACAGCGATTCACCTAACAACTGTGGCAAGAAAGGTTATAAAATGGGGCAAACTTACTTAACAAATGTCTCACTTAGCAACAGAAATATTGGGCTAAATATTTGCAAGTATGATAGGTGTTGCAGGAATAGCTGGAATATAATTAATAACTCTTATATCTTCTACTGAAAATCAAATACCTATGAACTAAAATGAACCTTTGGAAGCATTATATTCAATGTGGCTTATTCAGACAGGGGAACCCAAATTAAGGTGGCCTCAGGAGTACATGCCTATGATAAACTGAATCACCCAACCCAACTTACCTTTTAGCCTAGAATGTTAGGCAAGCTCAATTATGTAGTTAGCGTATATTCACCATGCCGTGCTAATCTCGAAAACATGGTTTAACTAAATAGACTACTGCTCAATTAACTGTGGTTAAAGACACAAAGGCAATTTATGAAGGGCTCCACAAAATACTGCCACTATTAATTATTGTGGAATCCCGGTTTCGATCACTCTTTCCGACTAGCACGGAAGAAATCCCCTTGAGTTGCCCTGTCCCAATCACAAAAGGAATGAAAAAGCGCATACCGTTCTTTCCCACAACGGAGTCGTTTCAACAGAAAATGAAACTCTTGAAGATACAAACCACTCCTATGGCGACAGCTACAATCTTTGTCAGTCACTCACAAATAATTACATCCTGACATTTCTAAACCCAATCAAAGTCCACGACGCAATTCAGGAGTAGGCGGGAACTTTCGGAGTCAGACATTTTTTCTCTCTTCTCACAATAACCACCTCATCAACCGTCTGTCCCACCTTCCACTTGCCCTTAAGAAATCTTCATAGCACGCGCAAAAAGTAACCAGTCATAAGCCTCTGCCGGATCACGTGGGCAATGAAAACCAATCTTTGAGAAGATTTTTTGGAAGGAATCTTTGGCATGTAATTATCGCCATTGGCTGGCCGGAATTTTTCTTACATGCCAAAGGAACTGTCTTTTCTTACTGGGGGTGTAGCATTCCAGCATATATTAACGTTTTCCAAGAGGTTGCTTCTCTTTATCCTTCCTTGCTCTTTTCCTATCAAATTGCAATCTAAAACATTTTATTCTACCCAGACTTCCCCTTTCTTCGTACTTTAGGGCCATATCTATGGTATTAACTCTTAATTAGTCTGAGGAAAAAAGTTCTGTCCCCTGCTGGGAAATCTGATGATTGTTTTATTTGTTTTTCTCTTGCCTTTTTAGCAACATCCGGATGTAGCATCCTATAGAAAACATGGGTCGACTTGAATAGCCACTTTCCCCGGCCTATCCTACAGAAGAAAAAGAGATAAAGAGGCTGATAGCTGAGGAGCTTTAAAAGCTCAATTTGTGTAAGGAAGAGGCAGGAACTGAAGGTAATAAGAAAGGTGTTTTGTCATAAAGTTCTAAGTCCAAACTGAGAAATTGTTCCAGAGAATACATGCAGGCTAATTTGTGTATTAATGAAAAATTGTATTTAGCAATTTTTAAAATTTGTGTCAATTCCATGTTGAACTTAAAAAAACAACAACTATAGGAATGTTGTTTTCTGCTTTAGCGTGAAAGGAATTGCAAACATGGTTATTATTTTTTAGTGTTGGTAAAATGGAATGATTTTGTTTGGACCTCTGGCATATGATACTTTATGGGTTAGATTTCTTTTTTGATAAATTGCATAATCTTTGTCTTATTTTTGAATATAAACTTCTATTTCCCAGAGTGATAGAAGTGAAATAGGTGGCCATATAAATTGTTTAAAATATAGATCTCATGTCAAAAAATAAAAATTAAACACTGCAATACCAGAGACACTGCAATATTCCTTGCCCTCTCCAAATGATTGTGATATCATAGTTCTTTAGTGTGCAATGTATTGTTTCTATTTATTTCCAGTTTTTTCGTAGGTATGCCAGTACTAGATTTCTAAAATTGAGTTCTCAAATCTGAGTTGCAAACATTCAGAATACCACTAAGTGGCAACATATGTTAGAGTTTTCTCTCTGTCTTTGCTGTCATACAGTACAGTAGTTATCCAGATTCTTGTGGATTATGTAGAATCAAAACTTCTTAAGCTTTATCTTCAAACTACTGGGTTATATTCTCTCACCATTTTTGCCCTTTGTCATTTTACAGCACAATTTTACCTGAACACAACATCCTCTATTAAAAACCAAGAAATTTAACATCCTTATGAAGAATGGAGATAATAGTAGTGACAAATTCTTCCATTTAAGGTCTGAAAAGGGAGAGGGGTGATAAAAGAAAGCAGAAAGAAGCTGATACTGAGCTGATACTGGATATACTTGAAGGAAACGAATATTGTTAGATATTAGCTTTATGTCTTGAGAATCTTCCTGCTTACAGGAAGACACACCTGTAAGAAACAAAGGATATGGGTGTCAGGCTCACTAATCCAGTATTGGAACTTAGACCCAGAGATTTAAGGACATGGCTTTTGATAAGATAGTTGTTTTACAGATACTAGAAATTCTATTAGTGCAAAGAAAGCAACTGTAAACTAATAGTCATATAGACATACTTAAGATAATGTCTTAACTCATTCCTGCCCATATGGGCAGCCATTAAATGGGGAAGGGGAAATCTCTTCAGTGTTATAATTATTGATTTTAGAATATATGCTTATGACCTCACCCAAACCAGTTATCATACCAGAACCAGACCATAAAACTCTTGATTTATTTATTTATTTAATATATATGCTTCCCATCTCAGTCAAGCAACTCAGCAATTTCACACTACAAAAGTTGGGATGCAACAAGATGTGAGGAACTTCCTTTCTTCATTAAAAAAAAATCCCTTTTAAATATATAGTGAAATAGCAATCAGAGAATAGTCTTTCTCCTTTTAATACATATAGCTATATAGAGGAAGCAGACTTCTTCAAAAATATGGCAGTCTCCATCTCAGGAGCAAGGTATTCTGGAGCTTTAGTTTTCCTTTGGCCGAAGCACAACCATGATGGATATATACAATATACATATACATATACATATACATACATATACATATACATATACATATACATATATATATATATATATATATATATATACATATACATATATACATATGTATAAACAACGTATAAAAGGAATTGGAATGTTCTGATATTCTTGTTTCAGGTCCTAATGTAAAATTTAATTGTCCATTAATTCTTTTGCTCAAAGCTTGTCCCATTTGTCCTATGTGGAGCATTGCTTGCAGGTCATGTTATATAAACTATAATAGTATATTTCCAGATTGTTATTTGGAAATCAGTGAAATCCATTCAATAGCATCCTACTTAACTGTGTCCCATTAATAGCAAGCTACACTCGTATAAACACTGGATTCACACAGTGAGCTAAGTTGTGGTAGTTGCTTGGGTCCACATTTTAGAAAATATTTGTGGAACAATAAGCAATTTTAAACACATACACACATTATGTCACCCAAAGATGACTGGTGTTTGAGGACTGAATTTGGATATAGTAGATTAGGCTGAGGATAACTTGTTGGCATTAAGAATTACTCATTTAAATGTGACTTCATGTTCCTTCCTCTCCCTTGCAAAACAGTTGCATACTTTCTGGCATGCAAATTGTCCCTATTTATGATTGTACTTCCCTATTGTGAATTATCTTTTTTATGAAATCGTGGATATTATGCTGAGTTGTTTTGATCTTTGCTTATTTCTTTCCCTTTTCTCTGGAAAGCCTGAAATAAATTAGAACTAGTATCTTACTCTGCTGCCCAGAGGGATTCTGCAGGCAAGCGTATGAAAGGAGGGAGGCAGTTGTTTGTGTATAAGTTGTCTTTTGCCTGCTCACTAGTACTCTGAATGTTTTCCCCAGGAAGTCTGCAAATGCAGCAGCTACAAGAGAAAGAGGAGGGGTAAACGAGGCTCCAATTACAGGAACAGGCCCTCCCTGCCAAGCCGTCACTGCCGGCAGCCGCCCTTCCTGGCTTTGCAAAAAAATCAGTTCATCCAATCTTTTTCGGCAGCTGCCCTGCAGGCGCAAAGGAAGAAGCCTGGAATCTCCCATTTTCTTTTGTCTCATGGAATATGCCAGCTCACCAATTTTGGGGCCCTACTGCTGCTTCATGAAAGACATCTATTAGCCTGAACTAGGCCAGGCTAATTAAGGCAGCTGCCAACAGCACTATTGTTGATATATAGCCAGGGCCCTTTGTCTCCAATCCATCCAAAGCAATGTCAGTGGCAATAGCATAGTCAGCCTTAAATGTGTGCTGCCACCACCTGAGATTCCAGGCTATGTTTCCACAGCCCCTTGTTCCTTTAGGGACAAGAGCTAAAGAGATGGGGATGTCTTCAATGCATCGGATTACCTTGTCTGCCAAGAATCGTTCTCGTGGTACTGGTAACACTATGCTGCTGCCTTCCATGTTGATGTTTGGTGTAATTGTGGCATCTAGTGGCTTACTCCTCATGATTGAGAAGGGAATTTTGGCTGAGATGAAGCCTCCACCCCTCCACCCCTCTACTAAAGAACTGTTTTGGAGAAGAACTGGCAGAACAACAGGAGATACGGATTATCAAGTGCTGCAGGATATCCGAAATAGGACAATCCATACCATTTGCAGACAAAAAAACATGCCTCGTACCATTTGGGATCTATCAGCAGGCCAGAGAAGGACAGTGCTCAAACATATCCTGGTTAGTGACAAACATCGCTTTTTATATTGTTATGTTCCCAAAGTGGCTTGCTCCAACTGGAAACGAATTTTGAAAGTTTTAGATGGTGTGTTGGAGAATATAGATGTTAAAGTTAAAATGGATCACAAAAAAGATTTAATTTTTTTAAATGACATGAAATCAGATGAGATTCGATATCGATTAAACCACTACTTCAAATTTGTGTTTGTCAGAGACCCAATGGAAAGACTTTTGTCTGCTTATAGGAATAAATTTGGTGAGATTAAAGAATATCAGTTAAAATACGGTATAGAAATAGTCAAAAGGTATAGGAAAAACCCTGGAAAAAGCAAGGGGGATGATGTCACCTTTTCTGAATTTCTCCGGTATCTCTTAGATGAAGAAACAGAAAAAATGAATGAACATTGGATGCCAATTTACAACCTGTGTCAACCCTGTGCTGTAAAGTATGATTTCATAGGATCCTATGGGAGACTTGAAGAAGATGCCAATTTTGTTCTTGAAAGGGTACAAGCACCATCCTTTATACATTTCCCAGAAAGGCAAGCATGGTATAAGCCTATAAGTCCAGAAACTTTGCATTATTACATGTGTAATACTCCAAGAGAACTTATAAAAGAACTATTACCAAAATATATTCTGGATTTCTCTTTATTTGCATATTCTCTTCCAAATGTTACTAGTCAGTTTTGCCAACAATGAAAGTTTCTTTTGTGAAACCAATTGTGTATCCTATGCAATTTTTCTAATTTTATGGTTTCCTTTTAATACTTTTGATACATTATTAGTTTCCTATACGTGCTATTTTTTAAAACTTTAAATTTTATACTACATATCTATATCTATATATAGATAGATATATATAGATATACATACACCCATATCTAATACATACACTATTGAACTAAGCACAGTATGTTTATTTGAACAGTTACATTAGAAACAAGGCATTTTTGTAAATAATTGTGAAATGGCAACCATAGGGCAGTAAAGTAAAAGAGCAGGAAGTACAAAAACTAGGCTTGTACAGAGGGCTCAGAAAAACCTGATGAGTGAGTTTCACTTTCACTGATACAAATGTGAAGGTAGCAGTTTCATACAATATTGCATTAAAATAGTGACATAGGATTTTAAGATGGCTAATGTAGTTATTAAGGCAGATAGCAGCCTTATAGTATTTTCTGAAAGCAAGTCACATCCTGTTTATTAGATATGCTTCCATATAACAAGCAGATCAGGATTTAAATTAAATACAATTTACATAATGGCTCAAAATATTTATCAACACTTGTCTGAGCACTGAAATATAGAAAAGGACATTAATATAGCTGGTTGAAATGATCAGCAAAATTTGATTATTTAAAATGCAGAATACTGTTTTCACAATGTTTTGAAGGGAAGGGTAGGAAAGGTAAAGGCATGAGTTTATATATGCAATTCAAATAATGTGTAGCTATATGTACTTTAGATTGCCATAATGGACGTTGTATTTTTCTTACTGTGATAGTTTTGTAGACTACCATGACACTTTTTATTTCCTTATTGAATGTAAACTTGGTGTGCTTTATTTGTGAAAGAAAAATTGTAATCTTATTTCAGGATTTACTTCTGATAAACTGTTACAATTTTGTTAGCAGCCTAATTTTTCAGATCATTTGTTAAATTCTGATTATTTACCTAAATCCTTGATTGTTTATAACATCAGCATAATCATTTCATTCCCTAGAAAGGTAAAGCAATTTATTTTTGCACATGAGGTTGCACACTGGTCATGTGTATCACATGAACTACATTTGCCAGAAAAACAAGACTATTGTCAGATACAACAGTTAGAGGATACTCGTATAATACTCAATATTTTGTGGATGGAGTGGAAACTCCCATCTTTTGCTTCAAGCAAGAAAAAGTCTAAAATTAACAAACTCAATAGCTTTAATTTTCAGATGGTCATACTTTTTTTAAAAAAAAATGTGTAATTATTTACTTGGATATTGTATTTTGCCCTTTACTGTGCATTTTGAAGTAAAAATAAAAACCCACCATTATAATTTGAAAGGAGATTCTTCCAATCTTTTATCTTTGTTCAATTAGTTTAGATACTGTGATTAGAAATTAAATAAACTATGTGGTGAAATGGGTGTGGAATATGCCTAGTTCACTGAATCATTGCTGGTCAATAGCATAGGCCCACCCATGTCTGAAATCCTTGCGAAAAATGTTTTATCTACTATCCATGCACAATTGAAAAAAAGGTCATTTGATCCTGCAAGATCTGTATGCTCCAATTTCCTTTGATCACACAATGTCATCTCTCTGGACTCCAAAAGTTGTCTTCCCTATAGTAGTGCCTGCCCTTTGAAATGAAGTTCTCCATTAGATTTGGATGAAACACATTCTTTAATTGTTTAGAAGAACTATTAAGAGCTGGCTCTTGACCCAGCCATGCAAGGAATGTTTGCCACTTTTTTTTAAAGTTTTGTTGTAAATTACTGAGTAACTTTGGGAATCAGAGGGTATGCAAATTTAATAAATAAAAATAAGACTATCATATAATCTTCTCTTGAGGCTATTAGTCACATTATTATGATCATAAGTAGCATGTCTGAATTTCAATGATGGACATGACCAGATACATGTTTTATGGCTTTTTTGAAATCATGATTTGAATGCATTAAACTGGTACACATTCTATAAAATGGATACTTTATACTTTTGTAAACATTAATTTATGCTCCAATTATCTGATAAAATAGAGGAAGACCATCCTTAAAGTCAAATGAGGATACTGTCTTCATTATAGTAAATAATTTTAAAGGATATTTTCATATCTTTAATCATGATCATTATAAGCTTGGTCTTTATACTACTGAGTTATAAACTACATAAATAAAACATGCCTGAAATAAATATTGCCTCTAAAGAGGACATATTTATAAAAGAAAATATTTATATAAATAATATTGAGCAATAGCCACAAACAGCAGGCCTGAATTTTCTGGGGCACTGTGGTGAAATTGGGAAATTAGCAGAGCCAAGAAATAGAAGCTCTTGGTAACTTATCTTTTAAATAACAGCTCATTAGGAGGAAACTAGGAAGAAACATTTCATATTCAAAGAGATACCACCTTAATGAGCTGACTAATGTATGTGAGGGTTGATCATTCACTCCCACTTTTCACAACTGTATTTTCCCAACATTCAGATTACCATATTTAAGTCTGTATAGTTCTTATGGTATTGATCTTGTCCAACTATGTGGGGCTTCACAAATATATAAAATTTACAGTAAACATAATAATGTGAGGTGTAATAAATTATCAGTCACAACGTTCAATTTCTATGGAACACCAAAAAGTGGGACACATTAAGCGTTGTGTATAAACTCGATTAAAAAGTAAAAAAAAAAAATCAGTGTTCCTGTATCCAACTTCTATCACAAAATATTTTTTCATAGTCCATATAGAAGAAATGTTATTCCAATGATTATCTCTTTTTTAGCTGTAACTCCAAGTTGAAAATGATAATGTTATGCAAAATGAGAATGGATGCTTTTGAAAACATGTTTCTATGTTTCTTTGTCACAATTTCAGAATCTTAAAACTAAAAACTATTTTGCAACCAATATCCAAGTGGTTTGTATACTGATGCAGAAGTTCAGAGATACAACAGTTTTAATTCCAAAATGAATCCTCTATTTTTATTTTAAACTGAAAATAAACAAAAGTAAAGCTTATTTTTGTTATTTCAAAACCTATCAACAATATCTCAAATCCCATTAAAATATTTGGGCAACAAAATAATGGTTTTGTTGCTTTCTAACAAAATAAACAGTTAATATTTTAATGTATTTATAAGTGTTATTGTATATGTATATAAATATAGGCTGATTATATGACAATAAAAGTTCTACACAGTTAAAAGTACTATATATTTGTTTTAACAAACAGTTCAAATGCTATGTACAAAGGACATACGTGTCTACCAAACACTGTTTTCCAAATTAAATAGTTTCTGATCAATGATTTCTCACCATTAGTTATATTTTTAATTCTTATTCCCAAGAATATATCAATGAACATGAGGCATTAATAGCCATAATCCCTATTTATGTGTTAACTCAGGAAAATCATACTGAGCTCAATAAGAGTTAGTTTTCTAGACTTTTAAGCAAACTAGAGGAAGCTAAGAATAGTGAAATAATTGATAAGCCTGTACCATTATCTTGAGTTTATTTAGTTTCTTCGGGATGCTTTTTTTCCCTTGGAATGAAAATCAATTTTAAACATTTCTTTCTTTTCACACTTCACTTTCCTAAAGTAAAAACTAAGCTAGCAAAGTCTTAAAGTTGTTTGAACAGGTTGCTTTTTCCTACTTTTATCTTTAACATCTTTAACTCTTTCCACTTATCTTCAGCTCATTAATACAACATTCAAAGCTGTTTTTAAAACTTAAATATTTTTTATTGTCAAAATGAAGAGGTAATCTATAGCTCTTAATAGTAATCGGATAATACAAGGCAAAAAGTCTACAACCACCAACCTACCAGATAAAAGTAGCAAGAGGGGGCAAATTTTAAACTCAAATGTTTATGAACAACTATAACTTGCACTCTTCTTTAGACGGTTCTGGAAATTTTAACAAATTGCCTGTTTTCTTTTCAACTGAAATATTGCTATCAACTTTTAATACATTATCTCCTAATAGAAACAATGTCAATACTATTAATATGAATAATTAGATTAAAATAAAGAAAAATTAAGATGAGAGAAGACAACCTAGCTTCCCAAAGAATCACCGTGTGTATGACAAACTATTTTTTTTAATAAGTTGGAAGAGCATCACTATCATCAGGTGCTTCTGCAAAGAAGCTATATCATCTGCAATGTGAAAGAAATGCAGTTAAACATCCCAAAGTCCCCAGAATTAACTTGAGAATTTTTAAAAAAAAAAATATTTATGAAAGACAAATAATCCCAGCTGTTCTGGAATAAATTCTTAGCATAAAGGCAATTAAAAAATGACTAATCAAATATGAAGCAGTGCAAAATAGAAGTGAATTGCTTTTTTTTTACTTTGATAATATTGTAAATGGATAGCAAAAGTAAAAATATTCATATATCAGTTGATCATACTGTGCAACAGACAACAGAATGCTTAATAATAAACCTCATTAATTCAAAAACTTTTTTTTCTAAACTAAAGAACAGGAGGCTTTTCCTGTGCCAATTATCAAAATATGTCTTTGTCAAAATCACAGTAATTTTATTTTTTGCCACGGTCTTTCTCAGATTCCAGAAGTGCAGATTGAATTCCTAATTTCTTAAGCTCTTCCACTAGGTCTCCACTTTGATGCATCTGGAGTAGTATATCGCAACCTCCCACAAATTCACCAGTGAGGTAGACTTGAGGAATAGTAGGCCAGTTGGAATAATTTTTAATTCCTAAATCAAAAAGTAAAAGGAAGTTAAATAACATATTTCCAAGCATATTAAACAATGCAGAACAGGGCTTTTGGAAGTGTGGACAAAAAAAAGGAACATTGGAGAATAGTGCTGATGCACTAGGTAGCTTGGCTGTCTTCAAAGACACACACTTATATTACTCATCTCTCCTATTCCTTTTCTGATATATAAAATTAGTTTTGCTACTTTGTCTGTTAATTGCTCTAATAGCACTATATACAATAACTGAAACTATGTTGAAGTTTCTAGATATGACGCTTAGGATATCCACTGGGGCTATAAAATTTATCACTATGTACTAATTAGTAGTTTCAGATTAGAATGGAAGCAGCATAGCCAAATGGATTAATGTGAGAATACAGGAGCTGACATTAATGTATATATAAAACAAAGCATTTAAGAGCCAAATAGTGGGGAAATGTTTATGTAGGGGGAAAAAATGAGAGCATAAAAATGCCCACTTTTTCCCCATCTTTGATTATTATCTTTTTTGTTATAATTTACATAATTTCACAAACAATAATTAGTATATTTTTCACTTGTTATACTGAAAGATGACAGTATAAAGTGGCTAAACCAGTTACATTGCAAATTACAATCTGAACAAAGATGTTTCCATTCCAATCAGCTACATAATTACATAATATTTTGTTTTTAAGGTTTTTTTTGTTTTAATATACAAACTCAAATTCTAAAACTGGGAATGGCATATGAAAAATCTAGGTTATAAATAGTAATATATAAATGGGAAGATTAATAAAATATTGCACTGAATTTCTTTCCAAAGAGTATTCTTATTTTAGATTCCACAAATTATTTTTTCAAGCAGAGTAATCTACTACCCTTATTCCTTGTATACTCTGTTTTTTAAAAACCAATACCCTTTGCCCCATTTACTTGTACTATAAATCTATTAACATTCATCTGATATTTAGAAACATGTGACTTTCAATTCAAATTCCAGCAGAGTTCCTTTGCCAAAGAACTACAGAATTCTTTAAAGAATCATATGTGTAAAAAATCTTTTTCAAAAATTGATCATATCTTAAAATTAAGCCTAAGATGTTTTTACATTAAATATTTTGAAATATTTAAATATTATGGTATCCACTGGAATTATAAAATTTATCACCATGTACTAATTAAAAAATGTTGCAAAGGGAGTGGTTTTTGTCACCATGCCCTGCTGAAGCCTTCAGTTCTCTTTGCCAATCTATTTTCATCCAAATTCTTATCTCTTTCTAACAGATCCTGGGGAGTTCAGTGTGTGGTGTATCTTGTTATGCATATATGGCATAATTTTTCTCACTTCACAAAACACAGAAAGAAATAAAAAGTTATGGCATTCTTAACCATAAACCTCTTAAGCATGGTACTATTCCACAAATTCACAAATCAGTTATGAAAATAATGCAGTATAACTTTAAGTCTTAGTTATCCTAAAGATTTGGGATATGTTTGTGTACATATATACACACATACATACATACATACCCATACACACATGCTCAAGCACACACTGTATATGTGTATGTGTGTATGATTGGATATGCAAAAAAGTGGAGAGGAGGGAGAAGAAAAGAAGCAAGGAAGAATTCTTTGATACACATAAGCAAAAACAAAAGCATATTTCAGTTAACACAGGGCAGACTGGATTTTAGGTTTCTATTTTATTAATATAAGCCTGAATTATATAAATGAACCCATCTTTATAATTTTATGAAAATGAAGGAAATGCCTTAAATCACTTGCAGATTTGGACTTCGTTTAGAGTTTCTAGAATGCAATACTTATTTCCACAAATGTATAAAACTGAAGATTAATTTTGCAACTTAGTGGTTACTTACAAGTAATAGCTGTAAGTTCTGGAAAAAAATGTTATTTTCCATAAAACACCATAAATTTTCATTTAAGGTGATACATACAAGAATAAAACATTTTCTCCCATTTTGGAGAGAAGAAAATATTTAATAATTTTCTCATTAAAATAACAGTGAAATGTTCTGTATCTTTTCATCCATTAACACTATTCCCATATCTAAATTCTTAATGAGTAGTTTAAAGGATTAGCTATTAATATGTATATTCATCAACTGAAAATACGAAATTATTTAATAATTATTTACAGTATTTACCTAAGACTCTTAACTGTTTCATAAAAATGTAAACATAAAAGCATCTGTCTTCCAATAAAATCCAAAAATATAAAACAAAAACTAAGAACCATCTAAAAAAGTACAGGTTGAAGGTCCCAAGCATCTTCTAGAACAGTGGTTCTCAACCTTTCTAATGCCGTGACCCCATAATACAGTTCCCCATGTTGTGGTGACCCCCAAGTGGGTGTGGCCACCAATAAGAGGGAGTAGGACAGCTAGGGAAAAGGGAAAAAAATGGCGGACAGCATGGTTTGGCGACCCCCGTGAAATGGTCGTTCGACCCCAAATGGGGTCCCGACCCACAGGTTGAGAACCACTGTTCTAGAAGAACTCCATCGTCAGGCAAATAAATTTGGGAATAATCAAGGGAGTAATGCGAAGCCAATCTAGGGAATTATAAAGCATGTATTCAATATCCCCCCCAGCTGTTTTTCCCAGCAAGGTCAGGCCAATTCAAATGGCCAAATATGGTCTTCAAGGCAGCATAGTGCAAAATCATAAAGAACCTTTTAAGTTTACACAGCGCTTTTTAAATTGGTTTGGCAGCTTATAGGGACCTAATATAAAGGTGTGTACAATATAATAGATATAATATGCTCCAGCTACTAAAGGACTCTTAAGTTGCAGACCTAGTCTTTCACATTTAGCATTCCTTATCAAATCACTACTGGAATTGTCTGAGCAACCCAATGGACAAAGAGTTATATGTCTAAATAGGCTTCAGTATTAATATATTCTCTCCCACACAAATCCTCATTGTTCAGAAAGCAAGAAAATACATTAATAATCTCACCAATACAATAGCAGTGGTAATGTGCCATTGCAATATGAAATGGCACTTGTTCTACTTACTTAATACTGAATATAAAAAAAAACAATTTTGAGAGGAGACAATCTATTTGAGAAAGAACAAAATTGAACATAACACGCACTTTATACATCCTTATTTAGTAAGCCAAATTACGTGGGTATCATTTTGTTTTTGTGATTTGATTTTCTGAATGAGTGTCAAATTAGATACAAGGGAGAACAGACATGATGATTGTTTTAATCAGGCAGCAAAGTAAAGACCACAGGCTGTCTAAAAAGCTCCATATGTCAAACCTAAACACCAAAAACGTGGATTATATCAAAAATATATGTATGCAATGTATCTGCCTTTACCTAGCAATTGTCTGCATTTTTCTCAGATAGCCCTAGTTCTGATGAAGGCAAGCAAATGGAGCACAAATGAGCATGTTCCTTTATGAAAAGACAGGCGGGCAACTGAACAGTGACCACTACTGCCTCTGTTCTCCCCCCCCCCCTCGGGAAAGTAAGTCTTGCAACCAAAATGTTTGTGGTTTATCATTCTTGGTTTGGACAGCAAGAATAGGTGTCACCTGTTCAGTCATCAAGTAAGTCCAACTTGCTTCTTTAACTAATTGAGGAAAAACAAAAGATGGGATCAGAGATAAAGACAACAATCGGATTGCTTTGGAAAGAAAATAAAAGTTATTCATATAACCTAAAAGCTACAGAAATTATTAACGAAATGCAGGGGGTAATATATGGGGGCCTTTAAAAAGGATGCAAATGGCTGAATGCATATAGAGCTATGGGGCCCAGTCAGTTGAAGAGAAGGCTAAGCAAGGGCGACGCCTACCTTGCCGGAGGTCGGGATCCTGGAGGACGTCGTAGGCACGATAATCATTAACACCATGAAGGCGCAGAATCTGCACCACCGCGTTGCTGAAGCCGCACTGGGGCTGGGCCGGGCTACCCTTCATGAACACCACCACGGGATGTGCTCGCACCAGTCGCTCCACCGCCTCCTTCGACCCACTGCCCTCGCCATTGGCATTCGGTCCCCCCTGACTCAGCTGCTGCATAAAATATCCCGAGGGTCGCGAGCGTCCCGCCAGCCGTAAGGCTGGGGGTAGCCGGCAAAGAGACCCAATCATGACTACTACAGCAACCGCCTCCTCGACCTCGCAAAAGCGTCTTCCTTTGGAGCGACCTTCTTCGCTTAGGGCCACCCGGAAGCACTGATGGGCAGTTGGTCCCGCCCGCTTGCAAAGCAGTTCTATGAAAGGAATCATTTTCAAGATAATGGCAGCAGCTGTGAAAGGCTGCCTATACTTTAGTCCTGCGCGGCGGACCAATCCGGTGGAACCAAATTACACTTCTACATTGTGATTTGCTAAACTCGAGATTCAATTCTCCGTGTTCGGCCTTTAACTACTATAAAAGCATCGTTGCATTTTTCGATTGTGAAGGAATGAGTGTGTGGATCTTTTTTGGCTTGTGGAGTAAGTAAGCAAGGAGAGCGAGTTAGGATCTTGAGATGTGAAGCTGAAAGAACATTTTTTTGAAATTCTGCCCAAAGGAAGAATAATAAGAAGGCACTATTCTTTGCATGCCCGGTAGATCTTGAACTAACAGAAAGGTAGCGTGCATTAAGATGAATCGTAATTGTTCTCTGTGTAAGATCGAGAAGATCTTGAATTGGGTTATGATACTGTAACTCTGCGTTACTCTTTATTGCGGTTCTTGGGGAGGGGAAGGTTTGCCTGAGATGGAAGTGAGTTTCTATAGATGGCTTACCTAATGGATATGGCTAAATGTCCAGCTTCAAAATACTGGATTATATTAAGCTATAGCACCAGGACTAGATATTTCTGTTGTGATTAATTTTCAGTTTAATGGCCATGTATACAAGTATTTCAATAGGTGAAAGAAAGTTCAGGACCGTATTGGTTGGAAACGTGCGGAAGAGGCCTTCATCCTGCAATGGATAGACAATCGCTAAAATGAAGATGATGATATGGACATCTGGGAGGAGGCACATGATGTGAACTCAGTTCTTTAGTACTTCTGTAAAACTTCAATGCTCAAGTATAAAAGGGCAGAGTCACAATTTTGCAGTGCCCATTTAATCATACATATGAAGGAACTAAAAGTTATTCTTTTAATAATTGTAGAAATAATTGTAGAAATGTAATGCCATTATATGAAACTGTCTCTTTAGTACAAATGTAACACTGTAACACAAATGTAACAATGCAATGCCAATATATGACCAAATGTTTACTATTTCCTGCCTAAAAAATTCTCCGGACATAGGAACTTACACTTTGAGTAGAAATCCTACTATCAAAGAGGGGGATTTTGACCCAAGGTGAAAATTACAAATAAACAAGATAACAGCAGATGGACGGAAGAGGTCAGGTTAACAAAGTACAACTTCAGAGTACGTCTATAAAGATGAAAGAGCTGCTTAGATGTGACATGCATTGTAGGGGTATAAAATGCAGATCTTGAAACCAGGCCAGTGTACTCCTGGAATCCAGTCCATAGGGAAGGATCCAGGGGGCCACGTTTGCAAACGCTCCTCTCTTCTATTCTTTTTCTTTTCTCTTTTATTCTGTTTATGTTATTCTCCGATAAACCTTTGTTTTGTTAACCAGACTTGTCTTCGTATTGTGAATATCAAAATTTGGGGTTTTTACATCTCACACATATTAGCATCATTTAAGAATGTGGTAGAATGCAGTACTGCAAGCTACTTCTGCTGACTGCCAACTGCCAGCAGCTCACCAGCTCAAGGTTAACTCACCCTTCCATCCTTCCGAGGTCAGTAAAACAAGGACCTAGATTGTTGGAAGCAATATACTGTAAGCCACTTAGAGCTGTAAAAGCACTGTGAAGTGGTATATAAGTCTAAGTGCTATTGCTATTAACGTTAAACCTGGCTTATAGTTTAAATGTTGTTTTTGTCTAGGGCAGGGGTGTCAAGCTCGCAACATCACATGACGTATTGTGACTTTTCCATTGTCGGCAATGGGGAGGGCGTGGTTTTGGCATGATGCATTCGGCCCATGGGCCGGCAGTTTGACACCCCTGGTCTAGGATATGTATCCAGATGTGCTTCCTGAGTTTGTTTTCCATGTTTTATAATGTAGGATAATTAACACATTTTGGCCTGATTCTGCATGGTATAACTTGTTATATTTACTCAATCATCTTATCTCAAGGCTAAACATACCATGCTGGAGCATATACCCTCAAAGACTAGCATTAGACTATACAGTTTGGCATAGGAAAACATTTTTAGGGTCACATGTTATGTGTTCAGAATTCATATGCAGAGTTACTGGGGTTATTGGATTCCCATGATTTATGAATGCATATGACCTAAATACGTATTTACCTTTTTTCATGATCATATTATATTACAGTTTATGTTCAGCTTAAAAAAATAATTCATCTAATTGAATTATTTCTAAGTTAGTTATATGTTATCTAAATGCTCAAATTATATATTTCTTTCATGGCACACAATGTTAAATTTTAAAAAACAATCCATTAGTACAATAAGCATAACACAATTACAATAAACTGCTACACTGTCACTAAAAGATGGTCTCATTAATTATACTGGAATTAGCAATGAGATGCCAGAAGTGGAATGAAAAAAATGGGATAATTAAATTCTGTGTTCTAAATTAAAATAAATATATTTGCTTACCTTATTAATATTAATGAACAAAATCAGAGTTGAAGTTGGTATCTTGTGATCTGTCTGTCATAACTTGTAAATCTGAAGAAATAAGTATTTATGTTCCATAGTATTTATAATACAGGTAGTCCTCAACTTACAACCGCAACTGAGCCAAAATTTATGTTGTTAAGTGAGACATTTATTAAGTGAGTTGTGCCCCATTTTTTCTTGCCACAATTAAGTGAATCTGGCTTTCCCCATTGCAAAAGATGATCAGATGACCCTGGACACAGCAAAGGTCATAAATATGAACCAGTTGCCAAGCATCTGATCATGGGGATACTGCAAAGTTAACTGTCACAAAATAATTATAAATCACATTTTTCAGTGCTGTTGTAACTTTGAAGGGTCACTAAATGAACTGTTATGTTGCATTTAAATGGCAACATTATTTTAGGGGTGGGACTCATTTCAATAATTATTGCTGCTGAGAATGCATGTAAATAAAAATTAGAATTATGGGTTGATATTGAGAACAACCATCACAGCAGGGTTTTTTCTACCGGTATAAAAAATATTGTTCAAATTCCAAGCATTACAGCAGGGTTTTTGACTAAAAAATGTTTGTCCAAATTCTAAAATGTTAACTAGTGATCTACAAGAATAGTGGGTTTTTGTGAGACATTCAAGATTGTGTCATGAATGGCAAGGGCATATTTAATCAGCAATAATTTGTTAGTTCTCTTTACGCCTGCAGCCTTGAAATTGCCCTTGGTTGACTTGTACTCTGGGCATATTGGGTTTGCAAAGAATATATAACTGAGGAAGCCGAGGCAGGACTGTAAAAAAAAAAAGCAGCAGCAGCTCCATGTGCAATGTTCCTCTGACATATTTTACACTGTTACCACGGAGATGATGATTGTCCTTGTATCATTATCCATCTGTCAGCAGTAAGAGTAAAGTTTCAATGTGATATTGTTCAGCAAATAAAGAATTTCTGCTCAATACATAAAATTGCTACATTTATTTATATTGTTTAAAACCTAGTAATGCATTTCTGTTATACTCCAGATATTTTTTAAAATGTATAACTATTGCTTTTGGGTGTGTTTCTGTTTTCAGATTGCAAGATGTAATTGAAGGTTGTATCTCAAGAACTTGCTTAATATTTAAGTATGCTGTCATATCTTTAAATCTTGTTTTTTTTTTAATTTTGAAAGTCAACACAGAAAAGGGAAATGTTAAGATATATTCTACTATGCATCTTAAATAATTTCTGTCAAGTGGATGTTATGCTTAGAATGTAGTTATCCATCTTGTAGGGGATATACTAATGAAACTATTAACTTAACGCAAAGTATTGTTGTATGCAGTACGGATTAAACTAGAAATTGCTCTGATAACAATATTTCCCATAAAAGCTACCAGTATTAATGAAATCCTAACCATTTAACTGGTTTTAATTTTAAATGATATAATTAGTATCTTGAATGCCTTCAAGATCATGGATTTTTTGGTTTAATGTCTTTTGCATGGATTGTTGCAATATTAATATATGTCTACATTTGTTCAATGAGATTGTTGCTCAAAATCCTTTATGGTTGTCTTAGATTTAGAAAGGTAAGCTCAGAAAGTTTGGCTAGATGATAGTGAATGTATCTTATTTCACTTGTATTAAAAGTTTTGTCAAGGCTGAAATAAAACAAATCTAAGATACTGAATTATAAAGACTGGGATCATTGTGAATAGATGCCCTAATATAGTAAGATGTGCATAAAAAATTGGTGGATCTTAATTCAGACCATATGCCCTAAACAACTGGGTTTGGTTGTTTCCATTTCTGGACTAGCTCTTTTTTTAATTTACAGTTTTAATATTAAAACAGGAATATTGTTATCCAAATCCAGAAAGTTTCTGGTTACAAATTCTGTAAACATTCCCTTGAGCATTTTTAATGAATGTATAATTTTATCTTCAGGTTTTGAATTTCAAGCAAAATTACATGCTGATGTTTAAGGGATATTTTTTGAAAGAAAGAGGATATAAAAATCACAACTGAAATAGCACTTTTTTTCTGATTCCACTATTTTACAATAACTTATGCACATATATGCTTGGCCCCATATAATTAAAAGAATCAGTCATATAAAAAATTAAGGCCAAATTAAGGTTAAAGAAACTGCATCATTTTTAACGGTTTGCATTCCATGTGATATGAATACCTTAGTTCATTAGTATATGTAATGATTTTCTACAACTTCAGAAGGTTTCAGAGATTTTAAATGTTAGCATTTGCTCTATCGGACAAATTGGTGGCTGTTGTTGAGAAGCTAAAATAATTGTAAAAATTTTCTTTACTTATTGGTGTATTTTATTTATATAAAAGGAATTAATTGTCCAAACCACTAAGATAATACAGCATTTACATATCACATGACTGACACATAGAATTAGCTTAACTGTGATTTGAATAAAACATAATTGACTGAATTCATAGAACAAATGAAGACAAAATATACTGTCGAAGGAAAAGTCTTCATCTTGGTCCAGTCTAAGCCGGGAATAAACAACATGGCAACTGCTTTAGAAAGAAGGTTGCAATTTATTGAAGAGGAGAGCCAGACACAAATACATCTGCATTTCCACAGAGCTGGCTTCTACTTGGGGGAGGGAGACTTGGGGATATTAAAAAAAAACCTGGGCATGCTTTTCTGCCTTTTTAAGATGCTTTGAGGAAATATAATATTCTGCCCTTTTAATATTTCCTTCTCTGGGGGGGGGGGCTGACTTCTCACAAATCCCCCCTTTGTTCCATAAGTGTGTGATTGACACACTTACTGGCTCAAGATTAAAATTGTTCTGGTCAGGGAGACTTGGTAAACAAGCTTTAAAACTATTAAGCCTCCCCCTCCCAAAAAAGAGGGGAAGACACTAATAGAGGTAGCAGAAAAAGATCCCTGCAGTGGCTCTCAAGAGTGTAGATTCCAACCCATAAAATTCTAAAAGTCAGGGCCAAAATATTTGTTAGGTGGAAAAGAAATTTATAGTTTCCAATATTCTGTGCCAATTATTTTCAAATGTTGGATGCTGCTTTGAGCTTCCAGTCAGGTTTGCACATTCCTTCTAAAATTCTTCATAGCCATGGTCTTCATCAGTACATAACCACTGGCTACCCATTTTCAATGGTTGTTTCCTGCCTTAGCTCTTAGTTCAGTGCATCCAGGTTTGTAATGTCCAATTCAGGTTAGCCAGTATGCAAGCCAAGCTATTAAATTTTCTTAAATTGCACATAGTGAGCCCTAGGATTCCCAAATCTGAGTCCACCAGTGCAAGATATTCAGAGCTCAGGTTTGGAGATCTCTTTCCTACTACCTCCTTAGTGAGGGCATATGAATTGCAAATCACCTGAGGGGACCTGGTTCCCTCCCCTTTGGAATTTGCTGGAAGTTGTTCCTACAAAGTTTTAATGACCCAGGGCAAGAATCAGACTGTAGCTTTACTGAAGGTAGATGAAAGAGATAGATTCAGCATGATCATGAATGGTGTGTGTGCATGTGTGCAGCTACTAATACAAAACAGGCAATACATTCTGTATTGGGGGGGATGGGTTGAAGGTTAAATAGCTCAGATAAGTAGAAATAGTTTCATTGTATATAATATTGTTTTATTTTGGAGAGAGGAATTGCTCGGGCATTTCTCCTGGACTGCATCCGGAACGAGAAGATAGGAGGAAGGGGAGAAGTAAGTAGGAAGGTTGAGAAGGAGGAGAGAGGGAGAGTGAAGAAGAAGAAGAGGGAAAGAGGGAAGTGAGAGAAGAGGTTAAAGGGTGGATGCGGTTTGGGGGAAAATGGGTGAGCAATACCGAAAGTTATGTGTATAAATTTATTTTACTCTTTATCTGAAGTATTTTTTATGATGTAATGTAAAATTGAAAATAAAAAAAAAATTACAAAAAAAAAAAACAGGCAATACATTCTGGATAAATTTTCCTCCCACCAGACAAAAAGTTGCTGTGCCAACTATTCCCAAATGCCATTACTCCATAAATACATTCAGCTACTTAATTATAACACAAATGGGCCAAGAAAGAAAACCTTATAGTGAGTTTCCACCCTCCCCACATAGTCTTCCTAATTTTCTTCTGAGGCTTCACATGGGGACCAATGGCTCCAGAACTCCTTCCTGCCTCTGCAGCTTTCACAGGCATCTGAGGGAATGATAGGACTTGGAAAGATCTGTTCCACTCTGGTTGCATGGTGGCTTTTTAGTGGATGGCTGGATTCAAAACCCAATTTCATGGTTCAAATGGATGGAGGCAACCTCTGCTTCCAAAGGTTGGGGGGGCTCATCTGTTGTAGGGCTGAAAGACATGACAGCAAGATCTCCTCCCTCCTTTCTGAGTGGACTCTCCCAGGAAAGACAGACAAAGGCATGGAGAACATGATAAGAAAAGGAGAAGTAGAATTGGGGGTAGCTTGCAGACAAAGTTTGAAAAGGCATTAATACTGCAATGGTTAAAGAAACAGATAAGATGGGGACAACACGAGGACAAAAAGGCTAGATTCTGATAAGAGAACAACAAAATGAAAGGTCTCACTTCTGAACTGAATATTTGTAACATTAAAGAGGACTAAAGAGTTGCAACTTGAAAAATGTTGGGCATGTTTCAGGAAAAGGATAGACAGATAAAGCCCATTTACAACACATACAGTAAATGCAAGAGTGAAACTGTTCCAGCAGATAAACTTAAAACATTCCCTCTTGCTAACTTTGGATTGTTCTTAAGAGTACAGAGAGAGAAAGGGGGAAAAAATATTTTTCTTCACTCTGTTGGCCAGACAAACAGAGTGAGGGTATTTTCCTTTTGGTGGCTTATTTTAGTCAGAACTTCTAGCAGAATTTTAAAATTCTTTTCTCTTTGGATTAGAGTCACATTTACCTCACACACAAAGACTTTGACGCACATATACACACAAAGACAAGAGAACAGAAAAGGAAACAGAACTTAGTTCTACACATCCTGGTCATTCCCACCATAAATGTCAGTTAACTCAAATTAGGGAAGTCACAAATCTTAAACATACCACATGGTTGCATAGAAAGAGAGAGAGAGAGAATCACTATTTCTATATTTTAATTTCTTTTTAAGTACCTTTATTTAGCCAAATTGGTTTCCCAGAAAAGCCCTGAGCAAAATCCATTTTTTAATATATAGTTTCTCTGCCTATCTCTTTTTCATACTTGCCTCAACGGGTAGCTGATTCCCATCCCAAGCCTCAAGCAAGCTTCTACTGGGGAGCCTATCTCGAACTAAAACATCCCATGATTCCCCTATTTCCGATGTAGAGGTTCACTTTGACTCAGTTGGGTCCAGTGCACTTGAAGTCTCCTTGTGAGACATTTTCCTACAACCACAGTTTTTGGGCCAAAAGGAGACCCACAGAGAACTCTGGAATCCCTAAAGAGTATGGTCATTGCTTCAGGGATTCTCTACCACAATTTAAGACCAAAAAGGGGTCTTTGAGGACTCATCTGCTCTCCTAGAGAGTATTGATCACTCAATTACTGGCTTTACCTGCCACAACCACAGTTTTCGGACTTCAAATATCTGAGAGGACCTCTGCTTGCTTTCAGAGGTATGAGTCACTCCTAGCCTGGGGCTTAATTTCCTAACTTGGGGCTTTGCTTACAGGGCCTTACCAGTTGGTTGCCCAAATCCATTCCACTTTCACACAGCCTCTCCCTTTTCCCTAACAAAAGGTCCTGCGCTCTGGCCAAACCCCCATGCTTTCCAGGGTCTGCCACTTGAACAGATCCTTTCTGCGGTTAGGAAAGGCCAGAGGGAACAAAATCCAACTGATTGGGAAAAGGGATCTTCTCATTCACACACAGAGAGACATACACGCATTTCTCTCACTCCCCTGGACTTTAAAGTTAAAATTTAGAGGTACTCACCTTCACCTTCTTTCCAAAGCAGCCCTTGAGCTCAAACCCCAAACTCCCTTTACTACCCTGGCTCCATATG